AACAGCCTGGACCCTTTCCAGATACCATTACCAGTCTAGAGAGCTGCAGCCCCTGTACACACACTCTCACAGGCTTTTATTCTGCCTCCTCCCGTCTTTCTTTGTTCCCATGCTGGCAAAAAAAAAAAAATTAGTCAGAAAATGGCAATTCTTCTGCTAACAAGGCTACACCAGCATCTTTCTTAATCAAGAGAGTTATTTAAAATTTCAATTTCAACCTTACTCAGCCCTATCCTCTACTTGAAGGAGACTCAAGGCCTCTTGCAAGGATTCTTGGTGCGTCATCGCGCTCATCAGGAAGAAAGCATATGTGTTTTTGTGGAAAATCTGCTGATTTATTTATAATTCTTTAAACAAAAAGGCAGCCAACATATTGTAAAATGAGAATGTTGCTGGGTTTTTCTTCAAATAGGCACTGGCAATCAATGCAGCCCGTCAGAAATACATGCCCAAAGCATTTTCAGGCAGAAACAGATCCCCCCCAGTCTGCGTTGCGGTTGGCAAAATTACGTTTAGCCCATAACTGGTCTGCACAGGCATGACGGGAATACAAATAACAATAATATTTTTAAAATTGTTCATACAGTGCAAAAAGCCAATTTCAAAACATAAAAACTGTTTGAAGCTGGAGTTTCATTTTTCTGCCTCCTAAAATAGTTCCAAAACAAATATATAAAAATAAAGGTTTGGAGGAAATCTGTTTTCAAGGGTAATTTCACTGAAATCAATATTAAATCTAAAAACATTTAATGGAAATAACATCTTCAGTGACAGAACTATTTTGACCGCACTTTCCAGTCCCAGCTATGCCAGTCTGCCATTTTTATTTATCTGCTTCATAATTCATCTTGGCCATCCTGAAACTAATCCTTTTGGGGCTCAAAAGGGATCCAAAAACTGRAATAGGTTGGAGCTTATCCCAATAACATCTTCTAAAAGATGCCTCTGTATCRTGGTGGTCTCGTTTGCCATGCCAGTATTTGACAGGCAGGAAGAAGGCTGAACAAACCTCCACRAAGACCACACATTTCTCACTTTTGCAGCTTTTCTTTCCAGTGAAGAACACGATTCCACCAAGTGCTACAGTTACATCAGCGACACAGGCTCACGATTTTCCAATTTCCTAGAGTTTTGGCCCAAGCAGGCATTTTATCCTTTCTCCTTAATCTCATCCAGCCATATTTGCTGTCAGCAGAGTTCAGGTGATTGATTGCAGCCTGTCTGAATCCAAAGTAGTCGAATTAGCTATTAATGTTGTGCTTAATGTGCTCACACAAACAAGGTCATTGGCTGCATCAAGACTAATAGAAGATGACACACACTGGGACTGCACAGCCCAGGGGACTGCAAACAGAATGAAAAAGTCTTCAGTTTGTGGCCACGACTTCARAATCAAGGCTGATCCTACAGATAATCCTATCTGTGCTCAGCAGTCCCGCTGGGATCCACTCACAGCACAAACCCAGAGYAGGAGCACCCAGTCCTCCCTCACCTCAGAGGTGCTATTGGCTCAACTGCAGCCACATTTTGRTCACTGTCAACATCAACCATCCTTCGTCCTTGCTCCCAAATATTGCTCCAAATGACATTTCTCCTCCTTCCTGAGGTGAGCTAACAAAATCGATCAACAGCAGCATTGAATTCAGAAGTGGTATAATGGAACTAAAGAAAAATATAAAGATAGTGCCATCAGAAAGATGAAACCAAGTTCATCCTAGAAAAATACCAACTAATTAATTCATCTGTGGGGAAATACTTCACAGGACAAGCTGCAACAGTATTGGGTACCTCCAGCAGGAACCTGGAGCTCTGCTTGCAAAGCTGGAGCCCAGTGGGGCAAAACACCCACTACMAGCTCACCTGAGGGCCTGGGGACACAGAACACTGCTCAAGCAAAGCAAACCACCATTTTCTGTGAATAACAAAGGCCATGAAACAGCTGGAATCAGCTCCAATTTCTCTACACACTGTTTCAAGGAGAGGTGATGTCTCCTGGCTGCCACCTGGGCCCTCGCTAAGGGCTTTTCATTGCCTAAACCTTTAAACCAGCGCTGTTTTATTAACAATAACAGTGAGTTCCTATTGAGAAGCTCCAGAAATAACTGTGTCTGGTAGTAATTTTATACCTGTTTTCCATGGCAGAACCCCCTGGCTCTCAGGAAACCATGGGATATTAAGTGTATCCCAGAGAAACAGGCAGATCCARGACACGTCTTCTGCTGCAGTGGATGGGCAACTGCTCCAAACTGCTGCCCTCTCTATTCCAAACCACAAACACTCAGAAAAAGCCTTGCTTTTAGGGTACAATTTTAATAATGAATATTGGAGTTTCAAGGCTGAAAAAGCAAGCTCCATTCTGAGAGGGTTTAATAATCCAACCTGTGGCTGCTCCCAGCACGCTCTCCTGCATCCTGTCTTTGAGCATGAAAATGGGAAGCCTACATGTCCTGCTCATCRTGTTACAAGTTATGGCACAAGGCTTTGTCTTTATTGAGTGAAGAGGTGGGAAAAAAAAAAAGAAAGAAAAATCAGGGCTTAAAACTGCAAAGAATTAAGACTTAATATCAGCCAAGCTGGCGACTGAATCTCAGAGGCCTGTTTCCCTCTGAATTTCTCCTCGCYGCTGTGACGTGCTCACACTGAAAATTTTCCCCTGAGCAACTGCCTGACTAAAATACAGCACACCCTTACCATAAAGCCCTTTGTTAAAACATCTTTGCCATAAAGCTGCAAAACCTTGGCTCCCAAGTACATTAAATCCTTATAAACCTGCCTTCATTTTAACCGCGCAGTATTTCAAAACACAAAGCGCTTCTTCCGAGAGATAGCACTTTAATGAGGAGAGGGGTAAAATATATAAACCAAACCTCATTATAGCATAATTTCCAGGAGACAAGCATGCTGTTATAAAAGAAAGCCATGGCAATAGCATTTCACATAGCCTGAAGATTTAATGCTTTTAAAAAGCCACTGCTACTTTCAGCCTTTGGTGGTGTTTTGTTTTGAACATAACAGAAACAACCAAAATTATGGGTCCACCGTCAGCTATGTATTTTATWTTCTGTAAATTGTTGCAAATGGTGGACTCAACTCTAAGGCACGCTCACAAAAATGTAATGGAGTCAGTAAGATACTGACAACGAGTTACTGTGTATACTTTTTTCTTTTAAACTCCTGCATTCTTAGAGGTCACTGCTTTAAACATGAGGATGCAACACRGACATGGTAAATTACCCAAACTGGATCCACTTCATACTGGATTGAAAGTGCTTATAATGATACAGTTTGTTCACGTGTTAACAGCGAAGCTAAAGAAACCTATCAAAAACCAGACTAGAAGAAAAATCTGGAGTATTAACAGACAAACGAAAGTAATGGATATAACGCCGTTTAATACCACCTGTCAGATAAATCAGGGTAACTGGCACATCAAAGGGACTGCAATTAGTCTCCAAAAATGAGAATACTCATTTTTCTTTAAATCTGAAACTCGAYTGCTTTCAACAAAATGACAAGTGGATCAGCCTCCCCCAGCCAGCGAGAAAAACGTTACTGGAAAAAAAAACTGTTCTACCTAAGAACAAATTATCTATCAAAGGAGCATCCTGAATTACACTGGTCCACAAGACTTTTAAACTTAAGCTAGCAAGAATTGCCATTATTGATTACAGTTCTTCCACATTAGTCTTCCAGTTGTAACTTCTGAAATGAAAGCTTAGCAATGATTAGGTATTTACTGCAGTGAGTAGAGGAAAATAGTGAAAAAAAAGATGAACATAAAGGCCATCAAAAAACCAACGTACTTATTCTTTTTAGAGGAGGGAAACAAAACAAGCAAAAAACCCAAMCCCCCCGCCAAATAACCCCACCCCAAACCCAACAACAGCAAGGGGAGATGCACCTCATGGCAGCTTTGACTTGAAGCACACGTAACACTGATTGATGGATACTGAAAGCGGAGACACCAGTGGAAAATTAAACCCAACCAAGCACCAAAACTGGGACAGGTTTTTTGCGTTTCTTGGTCCTACTTAAAAAAATTACACAAGAAGGGTCAGAATTTCAGGAAATGATTGTTCTAGCTAGTCACAGATCTGGGTCAACAGCAGGGTAAAAGTTGACCTGTAATTGATGCCTATAACCTGGTTAGGATAAGCATTTCCTCTTATCTCTTTGCTGCGGCTTACAACGAGTGATATTCTGGGCTGAAGRGTGCTTATGCTCCCTGATTACCACAAGGCTCAACACTTACAGCAGGGCTACAGCCATGGAGTGGCACTTCTGACTGCAGYTCTCAGAGAGGACATCTGAACAGAACACAGCACAACGCACCAACCCTTTTCCTAAATACACCATCCGTGATTTTGCCTTTGAGGTCCTGTTTCTGAGGTACTTTGCATAATTTTTGTTTTTACTTATGTGACTCATTTGCAGGTTTAGAGCAAAAGGATAACAKGTTCCTCCCTCACCATCATCACTCCCTTGCAAGTCACAAGAGACTTTTCCAGCTCTTACCAACTTTAGCATGGGAGAAGACAGGAGGCTGGACAAGTCTGAGGCAGCATGTCAGCCCACAAATTATCACAGGATGCCTGGTGTTAAGGTAACCCAGCCTAGCACGTGCTTTCCCTTAGCTCAACTTTAATATTTTTCTGCTTGGCTGTGCAACTAAACCTCGAGGAAGAAGACAGCTGCAAGCAAGTGCACATGCTACTTCTGTTTTACAATCTTCCCACTTCCTCCATTAATAACTGAGGGCTTGGGGTGCTACAAACAAGAAGCCTTATCACAAATGTGCAATGAGAGCCTGAGCTAACAGGTTAGCTGACATGGAACTGTTAACAGTGAATTGGCTTGGAGACAGTGGGGGGAAAAAAAAAGGGGAGGGGAGTGGGGAAGGGAGACAGAGTGAGAGAGACAGAGACAGCAACCAATTGAGCTGCAAGAAATCAAGCTAAATCAGTCCCAAGTGCCCATGGTGGAGAGACTTGATCTCATACCTTGCTTGTTATCAAGGCACTCCTGATACGAGTCAGCTCCAGTTCCGTTGCGGTCTACAGACAAAACAAAAAGTTTCATTCATATCAAACGTAAATATTAGAAACTTCTCAACTGGCAGCCCTGCTGGAGCAACACGTTAGGTGCAAACAGCAGCGCTCCTTCTGTGGGAGGCCACGCTGGTGCTGACAGAACCTGTGAGTGGTTACAGATGAGATGCAGCAGACTGACACCAACCCACTGCCAAAAACTGATCTCAGTCCTGGGCAGGAGGGGCTCCTGGCCCTGCCCATTTGTCTCCACACTGCTGAGGGCACAGGGGAAGGGATTACAGCTCCAGCTGCCCTTAAGCACATGGAAGATGGAATACTCCGAGTTAAATCTATCCTTGGAGTGTTCTCTATAAAATAACTGGTTTGAACCAGCAGAACTCAAACYAGAGTCTGGAACAGACTTCTCTGTGGCTTGTGGTGCTGCGTCCCTTTTGGGTTTTGGCTGCTACGTCGTATTAAAGACAACTGAAAATACAACAATATGCTTTCCAAATATTATTTTCCATGGAAGCAACATTACTGTAGCTACCACAGGGGTTAGCTGATCCCACAGCAGCAGAGGAGGTGGTCTGTGCCATGAAAATCAGTTGAAGACGAGCCTCCTGTACACGGGTGTGCTCCACACAGGGAAGAAAACAGACAACTCCCAACCACAGATGTGCTCACACAAGTGGCCTCTCACATCCAGCATGGATATAACCTAACAAAACCCTCCATCTGCACTAGAGGCTCAATTAGATCTCATCACCTGTGTGTAAAAATGGTTTCACCTGCAGGTTAGCAGAATCAGATTACAACATGGCTTGAACCTCAAATGCAAACCAAAGAATTTTCCAGAATGGCTTCTGCTCCTGCTTTACAATTAAGTTCAACCACAAAAAATACCTGGATGGTTTTTGAGAAAAAAATACTAAATGCATCTATAAAACGTGGGTAAACTAACGTTCTTTCAGCAGCTTACATGCACCATACACACTGTGCCACATATGAGGATGAAATCAACTGAGCCCATGAGGTGTCTGCACAACTGCAAGAAGTGAGGTTTTGTACAAAATATATCTAAGAACGGACACGGTGCTACAATCAATCCTGTTGTGTAACTACCAAACAATCTGATCAGGTCACTCACAGCACTAGAGACAGCTCCTCCACTAGAATACATCCCTGTGGTGATCACAATTAAAAAAGAAGCCACTCCAGTAGGTTGAGCTGGGTGGCCAGGCTATCCCATAGCAGTATTTCAGAGTCACCATCAMGAGACCCAGCACAACGGCAACACGTTTCTTTCTTTCTAAAGATGCTATTCAGGGCCAGAAGTTTACAAATATTATTCACATCAGAAAAAAAGATACTGAGGAGAACCCTGCCACCCAGGTACCTGCCAAACAACTGCATTTCTGTACCTCCAACAAGCGACTGGTCCCTGACTATGAGGCTGGCATTGCTCCCACATGGCAAAGGCATTCCCACATCAGCTGCCCTTTCCTCTTTGCTCAACCATCAGCTGGTGATGGCTCCTTGAAGAGGAAGAGATCCAGAYCCAGTTAAAAGGCTTCACATTCAGCAACAGTATTTAATGAACAAAGAAGCAAAAATTGAAGTTGCCCCACTGTTTGTGTTGTGTAAATTGCAGATAATAGATCTCCCTAATCCTAATGAGGCCTTCCTATTAAAATCTTTATTAGCTTTCAGCTCTGCAGATTGCCCAAAGGCTCATCAGTTTCCCTATCTCTCAGTACCAAGATCTGCTTTAACTTTTACAAATAGCTCTAAGATATTTCTCAGCTTATCAGCATTGCCAAGCAGTCTGTCTTATCATTASTATTGCAGATAAAATAAATGAGCTCACGATGATATGAATAATGGCATTTTCTGTAGGCTGGTTTCCCATTACATTTTCAACAGATTGTAAACTTAAGCACGGAAGAGAAAAAAAAATAAAAAAAGAAGCAGTGTGGGGGGGAAAGTGGTTTTTTTCCCCCCCTTCCCATTTACCTTCAGTGCCCTAGAGCACAGGCTGAAAAAAAAAAAAAAAAAAAGCAGTGTGGGGGAGAAGTGTTTTTTTCCCCCCCTTTCCATTTACCTTCAGTGCCCTAGAGCACAGGCTGCATTTTTAAGCTCACCTGATCAGAGCTAGTAATTAATTTTGAAAGGGAGCAGAAACACCTCAGCTCTGCTTTCTCTGAAGACCAAAAGCCCAGTTACTTCTGGGATGTTTTTTCAGCTGCATTTGTTGGAGAGAAGCGAGGGCTAAACCACGCTCTGCCTAATGAAGCCATCTTCATTAGTTTGCTCCTTTCCCTCGCAGCCTAGGAACACCAGTCAGATTGGGAATTGAAATCATGAAAAAGCAACAGAACTGCATTTGAATTAAAAGACTAAGCTACAAAGGTCTCCGACGGCTGCTCGGGGCTGATTAGCACGAGGCGCRTGTGGCACCATTGCGGCGCAGAGCGAATTTCACAGCACACATTCACCGATAAAGGCRAAGCGTCCGCGGGAGCCCAAAGCTGAACGCGTCCCTGCCTTTTCCGTGACAGCCAGGTCATGTTCTGGCAACCATTTTCTGCCTGGTCCCYGCAGCAATCACTACAGGGTTAAACGCTTTTCCGCTCCCCAAATTCCTCGCCCTGTCACTGTATCAAGGTTATCTGTTATTGGCAGTGACAGGTGAAAATTAATCTCCTAATTATTTCTTGCTGCGTAATCGGCACTGAAGGAGTAACGTAAAAGGATTACAGYACACCCTCTACGGAAGGCTTTGCTAGAAAGCCAATCATCCAGGGAGATAGAGGGGATGTGGGAAAGAGATATTTACGACGGATTTCCAACCATTTTGAAGRCAGACTACGCTATAACTTTAGAACCGACAGCTCTGGAGTAAGGATATTCTTGTAGGTATCTTAATAGCCTAAACACTTTTTATTGTTGATTCCTCCAGGAAAAAAAMCCACCAAGATTTATATCCATTATTGTCCCCAATTCTCCTCTGGAATAGCAGTTACTGCAGGAACAGCATTCATGTACAGATGTTTTTTACCCCCCACAGAAACATTATGGCAAACAATGTACCCAGCCTGCTTCAACTCAATATTAAAAATCTTGCAGCTACCTTCCACAGCAATTTAACTGTAACGCTTTTTCCACAAGAACATAAGCTAGACTGAGCACTTCCAAAAATAAAAGTATTTTATAAAAAGCCTCATTTTGTAAGCAAGCTAGAAATATGTTTGGTAACAACACAAACAGCCACCTTGAAATGCTKGCTTCGTTTAAACTCTAGCTTGCCTCTTACCACCCACCAGAAAATAAGGTTTATTTTTAYAGTATTAAAGAACACACATTTATCTTTAACCCTTTCCATGCAGCCATATAAAGTAMAAATGGGTGTTTTCAAGAACCTATTTTTTTTATGTCCACGTCAACAGCACCATTCTAGTTTAWGTTTACAAGAACAATCGATCAAAAGTTGTGTTCAAAATTATATCAGCTAGCGGGATAGATGGAGATGCTGTGCCTGTGAGTTAATGCAGGGGTCCTGGCAGGTAATAGGACAGGGCAACAAGGAAGATCACCACCTGCAATCAACTCCTGCCACCAGCATTTACCTTCCGTTTTCTTGATGGCAACCTTTCCTACACGGTGCAGAAACATCACCGATTCCTTTATGCAAACTCTCCGTGCTTAAACCCAGCACCACGTTCCTAATTTTTGGAAAGCCAAGCCCGGACAGCAACACACCGCTCAGCAGCGAGCGATGTGCGCTTCCACGGAGCAGGATCTCGGAGCGAGTGAGCGCCAGGGGCAGCGGGACAGGTAAGGGACGGGGACGGGACGGGGACGGGA